AGTAAGTTCATCAGTCTTCTCTTCATAATGTCGCAAACTTGCTCGATAGGCGATATACTGGGAGATCTGGGTGGCTATGACAAGAAATTGACGTTATCATGTGCAAATAAGTCCATAGAACGTCTTTCAATTGTTCTTTTTCGCTCCCCAGCCTTTCCTGCCCCCTCCCTTTCCTCTCTACGACGATCCTGCCCCTTCCCAAATTCATGCCCGATTGCAATGAATCATGGTGGATTGACTTCGGTTAAGGTGACTTGCAATTTTTGTGAACGAAAAACCACCTCCGCCCAAACCAACAATACGACACCTGTCAACTACTCTTAATTCGCGGTAATTTCCACTTTGGCGTATCTAGGCACGATCACAGCCTCAAAAGAAACGATTAAAAGCGAAAACAATAAGAACTGAACAAAATCTCGCAAAACGTACACGATATAAGAATACTAGAAAAAAATGAAAGAACTGTCAAATAAGCCATTACCACTTGATCCATATGAATGAAATTTTAATCAATTGTTACCTTTTAGTAGCTAAACGTTTCTGCAAAGTTTGGTCAAAAAATTCCAACTCCTTCTTGGTGTTGCAATTTCCATGTCACTGAGTATACTTGATTATACCATGATCTAGTTTATGAGATCATTGGATTATACTGATTATATAGGAGACGAAGGCGAAAATGCACTACAAAATATATTGTTTGCCTATTAGATAATGAGGCGAGAGGAATTAAGTGCGCTTTGTAATCTGATTATTCCAGAATATTAACCAAATAAGATGACCGACTTTAAGTAACTTACAAACTTCAACTTTTCTGTTTTCGCAACACTAATAAAACCGTCGAAAGTAAAAAATGTATTAATCGACTTATAAATTACATACAAGTGCACGTTATTGCGTGGAAGTGTAAATGTAATATGTTACACAAGGCTTTTTATTGTGGTTAACTTACGCGGTTAAACGAAATATACAATCACGAAATAGCATGGGAAAACGCGCAAACATGTAAAATTTTGTCCATTAACTAACATGCTGCCTCTCGACATTAAAAGATGGAGAAGGATAAAAAATAGTATGGAGGTTGAAGTTTGTTTGTTGCCCGAAACGGAGTTGAGGAATGATATCCGCATCCGCACTTTACGCTATTTTTTAGGATCCTTCTAAAATAACGATTGGGCACAACTGAAGTCGCCGAATGAGCTATGGATCGTCATCGTCAATTATTACTTTTAATACATATTTCAATGTAACCAAATAAAAATTGTCGAAATGTCGACTATGGCCTGAGATGAGTATCAGTCGTTAGTGGTTGTCTCGTACAGTTTCCCGCAGAGGACAAGACTTTCAATTTCACCAATTAACAACTCAAATGCGTGCTATGAAAAACAGTTTTAAGATTATGAACCTGATTAAATATGGACAAAAGCAACGGCCGGCGCCGTATAAGTTTCAAAATTAATTAGGTATAACAGGTATTTAAAGTAGTCCAACATGACCACTTTCACTCAAGGATATCAACATCATGTAAGGCACTAAAAAAATGAAGTTAGTGATTCGTTATGCATACATAAAATGTATTTCAAGTTCATTTTTTACATGTATGATACACAGCAAAAACTAGCAACCCTATCTATTATATAAGAAGACATGTTATTGGCAGTAATGAAAAGGTGAATGCTATCAGATTTTGCTCAACTGAACTGATCCAAATTGCACTCCTACGCGATCGATTGGCGAAAGTGATAAAAATGTTGTTCCATTTGTACAGTGTCGAATAGACAGAAAATACAGTTTCATAAAGAAACCATAGAAGACATAGCATCATATTGACAAAGTCAGACTGTTTTTTTATGAGGAATTCGAAAATGCCATCAGAAAAGATGCTATTTGAAATAAGAAAGTACTGGTTATCGTTCTAATACAACCGGAAAAGCGGCCAGCTTGAAAATATTTTTAAATGATTCCTTTTGATCGATTATTCGAAAAAGGTAATTCGAATCGAAATTCCAAACTGTTTCTGAGATACTTCTAATGGTCCACTTAGAAACACCACCCTGTATTGTTGTATAAACAATGTCAGTTGGGACGTTTAATTACTAATTAATGTCATCAAAATTTTTAGATTAAGAAATTGTTGTATCTCAAATTTGTTATCAAGGTACTCATTAATGCGACTACGATTAATGACAGTTACGGAATTATTCTTAAGCTCTTCGTTTATTTGAGAAAGATAAATGTAATTGTTTGAAGATAACGTGGCTGATTTAAATCTATACGAAAAATTGTATTATTAGGTAGAAATGTTGAATTAGATATGAAAAACTCTAAGAATTAGTGCGGACATTGTATTGGTTATCGTCGTTGCTATGCAGTGTTTATTGGTTGTTACAGTTTAAAAAAATTTAACTGGGATTTTCGTTTAAATACGCGGAAAGAAGACGCTTTTTTATAAGTCGAGGCCGAACTGCTGTTCTAAAATTTTAGAGACCCTATTCCGGGTCATTAGAAGAAGTGTGATTATGCCCAAATCCGAGTCGGAGTGCCCTTTTAGAAGAAAAAAAGTAGTTTGATTTTGGCCAGTTCGTGGCCGAGTACGTGCTGACGTTGTGAAGAAAACTGAGTCAATTTGTTGGAACGTTGAACGGCGATTGCAAGTTTTCGTTGGGTATTACGTTAATGTAAGATAATGATAAAACATTACCACAGCTGTGTCGGAGAGCGGAAGTAGTGAAATGAAGTTATTATGAGTCCCGTGTTAGCAGGTGTTTTGTTTTCTACTAGATCGATAGACGATAGATAGTACGAACAATATTAGGATTATAAACCCTTTTCACGCCGAAAGATCTCAACTACAATTAATTTTACTGATTCTCGCCCAAAGTTCATTGTAAGTGTTTGTAAAAATTTGGCAACATCCCGTTTGGAATTTAACGATTTTGATTTTTCCCACTGGCTGCTGAGAGTCGGAAGTTTAAGGTTAGGTTTAAATCATTTTTCTGTACCTATCGGGGTAAGGATGTGCACCGGAAAAATTCGGGAAGAGCTAGCTAGGTTTGAAGTTGTTTTGTGGATGGTCCTTTTTGACCTGGGATCAATGCACAATGCGATATCTCCCAAACGTTTTTTTAAGAGCTTTTTTATTATACCTGAATCACAATCTCCGTTTTAAACACTCAAATGCGTGCGAAAAAGGGCCTTTAAAACACACGTGCTTTAAAGTTGCTAAGTAACGATACTTCAAGTATGACTTTTGAAACTGTCATCTGGATGAAATAAAAAATCCTCTTAGGTCGCTTTCTGTAAATGCAGAACATTTCTTTGGCTTTTGTATCTATCCTTTGGTTGAAGCTTTCACAAACGCGCGTAATTTAGGGTATGCTATGTTCCACTCTTTAATCGCAGCATTGCTTTAAAGTTTTGAATGAATGCACCAAAATATAGAAGATTTAAATACCTTTGACATTTCCTTCATATATGCCAGCATTATAGATGCATTTAAGACTGTATTCGTAAGTAACTTCCTATTCATCCATGGAAACAACTTTTCATATTCTTTATAATAGGCTTTACTGGAGTTGGATTTTACACCTACCAACGTTTGTTTAGATTTTACAACAATCGATTTAATGGACGGTGTATTATCTTTTTCAACGGAAATCGTTTAATTCACAAAGACGATGATTTTTATAAGCAAACGTCAAGTGACATTTCCATGGCAATCGTGAAATTACGAACACCCAGCCCACTTAATTAGACACGTATTCGAGTATAACGTCAATATGACTTCATTGTATTCCCTATTTTTAAATTATACTGCAGGTATAATAAAAAATACTATAAGATACACGTGTATAATTAGTCTTTAAAGCACTTGCAACGTTAAAGGCACTCCGCTTTGCGTCGTGCCCTTAAACTCGTTGCGCGTGCTTTAAAGACTTGATTATACACTTGTATCTTAATATACTATTTTTATGGTATCCAAAATTATAAAAAGTTTGCTACTAATCTACACACTTTAAATTTGTGGTCAGTGGCGTACTTCTGCATGGTGAAAGGAGCGTATTTTTTATAGCAACCTCTAGTGTTCATTCTACAAGGTAGGCCAATAGTGTGTGGACAGATCCTTGTGATCTAAAACGAACGGCTTAGCCGCAAATGGATATTTTAAAATAATGCGTATGTCCACATCCAGTTTATACTACTTTTACAGCTAATTTGACTGGACTAATAATAGCGCCTTCTAAGATCAGTTGGAAAATGCGCTAAAAGCTCTAAAAGGTGCGAATGTGTCCTCAAGACAAACATTTTGTAAGCTAATCTTTCGGTTACGGGCTCCGCTACAAATTTGTTCAAAGCAAAGATGTTTCCAATTTTGAGTCCGAAAAGGTGACAATTATGTAACAAAAATCAGTTTTTGAATATTTAGTCATAGGCGTTTCAATCGAATATTTCATTTGATTGATATTCGTTGATGAGAAATAACAAAGGCAAAAGGCGCTGTTTTTTCATGTTCACTTGTTTTTATGGCATACTTGATAAGTGGCCCAATAAAATTTCATAATTCTTGGGTCGTGGACGGCGGTTTTTTTTTATGGCGCTAAGTGATATTTTTTGGGGGACTTCATACAATTTTGTAGGGCTGAAAACTTTATAGACGTCATCGCTCGATGTTTCCCCTTTTTTTTGAGACTGAAAGGTCATTTTTGTGGTTATATAAATATTCAGAGACGCATCAGCCACTCAACCCAAGTTTTTGTTTTTTTCCTTTTCCATAAATTTAATGTGGTATGTCTTGCATTAAAAAACGAACCAAAACTAGTTACAATGTAAATAGATCAGATGATATTTAATTAACTTAATAATTAAATTATACATGATCACATAGAATATTCCCGCAAATACGCCTTAATTAAATTTCCAATCACAATTTTGGAGTGACCACTTTTTATAAATTTCCTAATATAGAGAAATCGAAGATTTTAATTGCTGGTTTTTCATTTCAGATCTCCTTAATTTTTGTCATGGAATTACAACGACACATTACGACAAACCTGCACTTCAGAAATCTACACATGGCCGAACAGAATTTGCAAATTTAACTGGAATTGAACGACAAAAACGTCTTTTACCATATATAAACTTTTACGTTACACAAAACCTGCAACAATCACAAAATGAAGATTATTATATACCCGAAGATCATTACCACGGAGATAAACAAAAAATTCACCCTTCTTCTCAAATTAAATATAGTGAGTTACTGCAGGCAACTTATCAACCAACTCACGCCTACCAACCAGACAGAAGGCCATATCAAGTAAAAACAAAATTTACGCCTTTTCTTGAAACAAACGCCCTTCCCGGTCCATTTACGCCAATGATACCACAACTTCCGAAAGTAAAACTTGTGTACACTCCAATAGACCACAAAGAAAAGATCCCAAATTATAGTGCAATATACGAGAAGCTGCCGCAAATAAAACTTCAACATAGCATAATCGAACCAACGCCCACCTTCGAACCACAAAAAACAGTGTTACAATTTTTCCAGCGGAAGCCGCATGTCAGTTACATACCACTGCAAGAACATCATCGTGAAGCGTATACGCCTCCAAAAACATTTGTTCACACATACACACCTACTAGTATTGATTTGCCAACCCAAGAACACAACTTTCACACAGAAGAATTAAATAATCCAAATCATATTATTCCTCAAAACTCAAACAAGCCACTTGTAGCAAAACCAATTCCCCAACCAATTCGAATAATACAAGTGTCTAATCCCAAACATCACCTCGTACATTCTAACACGCATACGAAAATAACACCAGGCTATGCTCCTTTGGTAACGGTTAACTCTCAGAACCAATACCTAGTTCAAGAACAAAAGCAGTACCACAACCAAAATCACAAGCAATATTTGCAGGAAGTGACTCCAACATCGAAACCATTGGTTTTATATACTCAAAAAGACTATCCGCCGTTAGTTGCACCCAATCAAATTAAACCGACAAGTCCATACGTTATCGTTCAATCTCCCCCAATTTACAGTGCCGAGACGCCAAAAGACCACCTTCCAGGACTACAATTTGTAAACTCTGCACCTGACAATCCACTACAAAATCATGAAGATCCAAATGCGTTAAGTTCAATTTTAAAAAGATTACAAGAAAGTAACGCTTTACCGCACACGTTGACCGAAGACAATATAGACAACAGCATCAAAACCTTAATAAATATACTCCGTTCTTTTAAAAAGGGACAAAAATTCTCAGGTCCAATAGTCGTAGCAGATGTTAACGAGGGCCACTTGCCCAAAACGGATTCGGATTCGCACAACCCGCTCACGCAGATGTTTCCCGCAAACACGCCCGAAGGAGGTACACCCGGAAGACCTGGAATTGATTATCCAGCTCTTTCAAGTATTCCGCAAACGAATTTCGATTGTCACACGCAACGATATAAGGGTTTTTTCGCTGATCCCGATACCAACTGTCAGGTAATATCGTACTACTACCTCAATAATTCCATGATAACAATACCTGTTGCAGGTTTGGCATTACTGTGATTTAAATGGAGGACAGGCATCGTTTTTATGCCCGAATGGGACAATATTTAGTCAAGTAGCGTTAACTTGCGATTGGTGGTTTAATGTCAAATGTTCGACGACGACACAATTGTATGTGTTAAATGAAAGGTTGTATAAATACATAATTCCTCTAAAGCCAAAATTCCCAGAGGATTATGCTGGACCACTAGTAGATAGGTAAGATACAGGTACTTACGGCAGCAGCGTTTTGCTCTTCCTAAGATTCCTGCTTAATTATGGTTGTAAACCACAAAAACGTAAAATGTCTCCAATAGTTCCAAACTGTGTTTCTTCATTAATTTTTCCTGATCAACAACTTGTAGAAGGAAGTAAGTAATAAGCTTCTCTTAGGTTTTTTTGTATAGCCTTTACAATGTGTAATGTAATAATTCCTAGACATGATCAGCCATTGCAAACAGTTGTCTTCAATATGCTATAAATTATACACCATCCAGTTTGATTCATGTGATTTGAAAATTTTGTTTCCAAAAATCTGATGCTGGATTGACAAACCTCAAACCAACTTCAAAACAATTATCCAAAAGGAATACCCCTACCCATATTGAAATGGAAATTATTAATTGAAAATTGTGGATAAATTAATACTTAAAAGAATATGATTGATAATGAATATATTCCAGATACTTGGCAATGAAATTTCAAGAAATGGAAGAAAAATTAAACAAAGAAAAGAAGGAAAAAGAAAAAGATAAAAGTGAAGAAGTGGACGAACTTCAGCTTCTTGAAGATCAAAATCAAGATTCGACAAGCCATACGCCAGAACCTCTCAGAAGCCATAAGTAGAATTTGTTTGATGTTATTAAGTAAAATTCTTGTTATTTATTTATTGAATTACAAAAAAAATATTATAGTTTACTATTAAAAGTTAAGCATGAACGTTTATGTGTTGTGCAATACTGAAATATGTGATACTGATAATAAAAAAAATTATAATGAATAACTCCTGACGTGAAATGGACAATAATTCCGTACAAATGCGCCCAGCCATCTGATGACTTACATCCATTATGCTTTGATAAAAATCTAAAAACCGGTCGATTTTATTTCGAGAGGAGGGGACCATTTTTATATGTAAAAATAATTCATGCAATTAACTCTGTGCTAACGGTTGCAACTCTTAAATGGAATACATTGGCAAGCGATTTTCATTACTTACACAACCGTTTTAGTTCCTTATCGTAGTACAAATTTTTGTTTGAAACACGTAAGTCAAATTATTTCCATAATAACACATTTTAATTATTAAAAAATATACTCCGAGATGGCCATAGCAAACATTTATTTTATTTATACAGTACGAACAGCATTGGTCACATCATAGATAAATGCATATGGTTCAAAAACCAAATTGGTTCTTTAGTTCACTCCTTATTTAATTTATTTTAACTAAAATCTTAATTACTGGTGACTTTAACCTCCCTGCATTTTCTGAAGATGCTAACTATTTGGACAATAACTGTAACAACTTGCTAAACTTTTTGCAATATACAAACTGCTTACAACTAAACGAAATACGCAACATCAATAATCGTATGCTGGACTTAATTATTAGTAACGATAGTTTTAACGTTTCTAAAAGCGATTTCGCCCTTACCCCCGAAGACACTCACCACCCTGCTTTAGATTTTGTGTTTAACCTAAACGAAACCATTACAATCAGTACTACTCCTGGGTATAATCAGAATCGCTACAATTTCCAAAAAGCTGATTTTATCACTCTCTATCATGACCTTTCAAGAAGAAACTGGACTTTTTTGGAATCCTACACTGACGTAAATATTGCGTGCCAAGCATTCTATGAAACTTTGAATACCACTTTTCAGAGAAGTGTACCCACATATCTTCCTAAAAAGAAACAAAGGTTTCCGCCATGGTTCACTGCAGAATTAATTCGAGCCATAAAACTAAAAACTAAACTTCATAAGAAGTATAAAATTACCAAATTATCTATGCATCTCCATGAATTTAAAAAATTGCGAACTTTTACAAAAAGATTGCTATCAACTTTACATCGCAACTATCTGATCTCAACTGAACACAACCTACATGATAACCCTAAGCAATTTTGGTCATATATTCGATCCAAAAAGGGCACGTCACGAATTCCCAATGAATTAGAATACCAAGATCGTACATATAATACCGCCCAAGATATCGTCAACGCATTTGGAACATACTTCTCCAGTGTTTACGTAAAAACTTCTGCCAATTCGACGGACTTCTCTTTCTGCAACTACACATCGCTTATACATCTGCAACAGATTACCGAAAAGGACATAATAGAAGCCATCAAAAAACTTAAAGACAAGAAAACTGCCGGAACGGACCAAATTCCTGCCTTTCTAATTAAAGATTGCGCTCGAATATTTGCGTATTCCCTATCACTTTTATTTAATTTGTCATTGAAACAATGTGTTTTCCCGAACGTATGGAAAGTTGCGAGAGTTTGTCCTGTTCTCAAATCTGGATCGTCGTCAACATTGATAATAAATTATCGTCCAATATCGATTTTGTGTAACTTTTCAAAATTATATGAAATTATACTGTATGGAAAATTATTTGATCAATGTAAAGCACTCATTACGGAACATCAACATGGTTTTGTGCCTCAGAGATCAACAATAACTAATTTGACCTATTTTGTACAGTACTGTTCGGAAATAATAGACAAGCGTGGACAAATAGACGTCATCTATACGGACTTCCGCAAAGCTTTTGATCAAATAGACCATCACATAGTCCAGAAGTTAATTGCGTACGGTTTTAGCCATCCAATAGTTCAACTCATTGCATCGTATTTAATGGATAGAAAACAGTTCGTGTCATATAATGGCTACAATTCTCACACCTTCACGCCCACATCTGGAGTACCTCAAGGGTCCAATTTAGGGCCATTTTTCTTCGTGGTTTTCATTAATGACTTACCTTCGGTAATTTCTACGCAGAAACTATTATTTGCAGACGATCTGAAAATCTTTTCACAAGTTAAGAGTATCTCCGATTGCGAAAAGCTTCAAATGGACCTGAACAACATACATAATTGGTGCAGCATGTTTAATTACACCATATGCAATACGCCTTTAAACAGACACAGTGAAACAAAGGACTTAGGAATCTACATGGACAAAATGTTAACGTTCTCAACTCACATTAATAGCTTAGTTCAGCAGTCATTTAGAATTCTAGGTTTCATCATTCGTGTTAGTCGTGATTTCACTGATATATCGACCATTAAATCATTGTATATATCATTGGTTAGAAGTAAGTTAGAATATGGTTGTGTAATTTGGAATACCTCATTTAAAAAGTATGAAAACAATTTAGAAAACATACAACGTCGGTTCCTCAAATATCTATGCTTTCGTATGGATGGACAATATCCAATTAGAGGATATTCTAATGATATCATGTTAGAAAGGTTCGATCTACCTTCGCTATCTTCTACACCTTTTCCACTTTTATTCGAGAAAGTATCAAGTTAATTTGAGAAAGTATCAATTGTATTTGAGAATAGTCAAATGTATTTGAGAAAACAACAAATGTAGTTCAGAATAGTGATTTGTATTTGAGAAGGCATCAAATGAATTTGAGAGTAGTAAATTGTATTCAAGAAATGGTAAAATTAAGTATTTGAGAATCAATTGAAAATGAGAAAAACAAAATCATATGTATAACATAGCCTGATGCTGCCGCTGCTGTTGCGGGACTACATACAGTAGCGGAACTAAAAATTTGATTCTTAATTATAATTCATTAGGAACAATATTACATTCTGAAACACAATAAAATTAAATGATACTTTCTCAAATACAATTGACTATTCTCAAATACATTTGATGTTTTCTCAAATCCAACTGACTATTCTCATCTACTTTGACGTTTTCTCAAATACAAGTAACAATTCTCAAATACAATTTACAACTTCTCGAATAAAAGTGGAAAAGGTGTAGACGTAAACGGATGGCTATTGCTTTCTTGTATAAATTTTTAAGTAACAATATAGATTGTCCTGTACTATATAGGTATATGTCATTCGCAATTCCACGGTTGTCGTCTAGACATACCGTCACTTTTTCGTTGCCATTCTGTAGAACCCAAATACTGCAAAATTCTCCTATATACGCCATGTGTAATCAATATAATAGCATAGCCCACGTTGTTGATATATTTAATACCACCCTTAGTATATTATTAGATTCCGTTAATTAACTAAAATAATAATTCTCAATTTTTTTATTTTTTTTATTTTCACTTATGTCATGCTTAAAATTTTTCTTTTTTTTCGGTTATTATTCGCACTACATGTATATCTTACCTAATATTGTCCTAGTTTATGGAACTATTCTGTTTGGACAATAAACTATTATTATTATGGTCGGTGTTTCTTGTGAGAACTCAGGTCTAGCCTGGTTAACTAATCGCACGGATTAAAATCAAGTAACGATTAGTATCTGTGTCTGTGTCTGGTGAAGTTATGTAGGGTTCTAAAGAAAAATAAAAAATAAAAATAAAATATCGCACACTCACATTGGAAATCTAGGGATAGTATGTAATTCATACTTACCAACATAGCTATTAATGGCCACAATAGTCAACGCTATCAGGAAAGAAGAAAACAAAACAAAAATATCATTTATAATAATTCCTGTAATTTTATTAAATAGAGTTTATTGTGTAAGTGTTTCTTTGGCTTTGCGTTTGGGTTGAATACGAGTGGGTTGCGATAACGTGGTCTGTTTCTGTGAAGAAGGAGTTTTGTGTTTTTTAACTGTGCTAGGACGTGTAACTTTATTGGGTGGACCTGTCTTTGTAGTGCAAGTTGCGTTACTTGTATTTACGGTGTTTCTTTGTTCTAGAGGGTGTATTTGTGTTGTTGCTTGGATTATTGGTGGAGACATTACTGTATTTTGTGAGCCTCTAGTGCTGTTAAGGTTGCTGCGTTTGGGTTGAGTACGAGTGGGTTGTGATAACGTGGTGTGTTTCTGAGAAGAAAGAGTATTGTGTTTTTTAGCTGTGCTAGGCCGTGTAACTTTATTGGGTGAGGGCGCGTCTTTGTAGTGCATGTTGCGTTTGTTTGTTCAGGAAGTTGTGTTTGTGTGGTTGGTTGAGTTAAGGGTGGAGATATTACAGTATGTTGTGTGTCATGTTGTGAGTCTAAAGTGCTGTTTAGGCTTTTGCGTTTGGGTTGAATACTAATGGGTTGTGATAATGTGGTTTGCTTCAGAGGTGAATCTCTGATTGTAGTATATGTTGTATCATTTGTTGTACTTGTTTGTTCGGTAAGTTGTATTTGTGTGTTTGTTTGGGTTAGAGGTGGAGATATTACAGTATGTTGTGTACCGTGTTGTGAGGGAGTGCTGTTGTTTACATGTATACGTTGTGGATCATTTCTGTATGTAGTATCTTGTGTTATGTTTAGAAATTTACGAACAATATGGCATGTGTTGATAATGACTGCTTTTTGTAAATGTTTGTATGTGTTTTTGTTTAAACCTAATCGTTGTAAATTGTGGTGTATTGTCTTTGGTATAACTCCGGTAGCACTAAGAATAATGGGAACTATAACAGTAGATTTCATTCTCCACTGCGTCTTAAGCTTAGTTAAGTTGTTAGTGTTGGGTATGGCAATGTCTATAATACAAATGGATTTTTGTGTTTTATCTATAAGTGTAATATCTGGTCTATTATTGTGGATAGTTTTGTCTGTGAGTAGTGTCCTGTCCCAATATAATTTGTGTGTGTTGTTTTCAAGTATGATCTGTGGCGTGTATTTGTAGTATGGTGTCGTATTTGTTATGAGATTGTGTTTAAGTGCTAATTTTTGATGTATGATTTTAGCTACCTGATCGTGTCGATGTTTGTATTCAGTTTGTGCAAGTCGTGTGCATGCCGATATTATATGTTGGATTGTTTCTGATGTTTGTGAACAGAGTCGACAAGAATCGTTTGTCACTGTTTTGTCTTTATGTATGTGTTTTTTATAGTTGCGTGTATTAATGACCTGATCTTGGATTGCTAACATGAAACCCTCCGTTTCCGGGAAGATATCACATTCAGACAACCAAGTGTGCATTGCTATAGAATCAACACAATCCTGACTAACCTCTTGTGGAAATCGTCCATGCAACGGCTTTTGGTTCCATGTCTGTATGTTATTTGTGATGTATGTAAGTTTGGATGGAGGTGGGAGTATATTAGTTTCGTGTAGGTTAAGTGGCGTGTAAGATTTGTCTGCATATGTTACTGTTTTGTGTAGGACTGAAGTATCTGTTTTGTTATAAAAGTATTGTCGCAAATTGTGTATTTGTGTTTGGTGCAATAGTTTTATATCTGTAAGTCCTCTACCTCCTTCCGAACGAGGAAGGTAAAGTCGTATAGTAGAGGAGTGAGGGTGATGTATATGGTGTTTTGTTAATAGTGTACGTGTGTTTCTCTGTATTTGTTCTAAATCTGTATTTGTCCAACGTATAATCCCAAAAGAGTATGTAAGCACTGGTGTGGCATAAGTGTTAATAGCTTTGATTGTATTTCTACCGTGTAATTTTGTTTTAAGTATACTGCGTACTCTTTGTAGGTATTGTGTAATAAGTGTTTGTTTTATACTCGTATGTTTAATGTGTGTGTTTTGCTGAAATCCAAGATACTTATAAGTTTCATTCTCGTCCATGGAATTTATTAAATTACCCTGTTCGAGCTCATAATCTAAAAGTTGTCTTTTACCAGCTGTGATGTGTTGTGTTTTTACATTTATCGATTCCAAAGTCCATTTGTATGTCACGTGAAAATGTTTCCGTGATGTGTAGAAGGTGATTAAGTTTTATGCTTGTGGAAGAGTATAATTTCAGATCGTCCATGTAAAACAGGTGTGTAATGTTGTGATGTATTTCGTGGTTGTGTTTAATATTGTACCCAAAGTTAGTAGTGTTTAACAAATATGAAAGTGGATTAAGAGCAAGACAAAACCAAAGCGGACTTAAAGAATCGCCTTGAAAAATGCCTCTTTTAATTTGTATTGAGTCAGTAATAAGTTTTGTGTCGTTTAGTGTAAGTGTTAACGTAGTGTTCCAACATGACATTATGTAATTGAGGAATTGTGTAATATTGTTGCTGACTTTGTACATTGAGAGTACTTGTTGTAACCAAGAGTGTGGTACTGAATCAAATGCTTTTTTGTAATCAATGTATGCCGTGTGTATGTTTCGTTTGTTATGTCTGGATTGTTCAAGTATTACAGAGTCTATAATGAGTTGCTCTTTACAGCCTCTGGAATACTTGGTACACCCTTTTTGTTCTTCGTATAAAATGTTGTTATCAGTACAGTGTTGGTATATTTTGTTTGTAATGCATGATGTAAGGATTTTGTATATTGTAGGAAGGCATGTAATTGGTTTAGATGGGTCTTGTGTATTGTTGTCTTTTGGGAGCATATAAGTGATACCTTGTGTAAAGAATGCAGGAGTGCGATCTGGTGAATTAAGAAGTTCAGTAAATTGTTGTGCAAGGTAAGAGTGAGTGTAGGTAAAATATTTCCACCAAAAGTTGTGAATGTTATCAATGCCTGGACTTTTCCAGTTATGTAAGTGATTAATAGTTTGAATGATGTCTGTTGTAGTGATGTTTGTGTTATTCATAGGAGTAATGTATTCAGTGCGTGTGGTTTCTGTGGTAATCCACGGGGCGTGTGGATTGTGTTTAATGTCTTTGGTCCATAAGTCAAACCAGTATTGCTGAAGTGAGTGTAGAGATGGTGGAATGAGTTTTTCATTAGTGCTGTTTTGTGTTAGTGATCTGTAAAATAGTTTTTCGTTATGTTTAAATTGTGTGTTATGGCGCTTTCTGTCTGCAGTTTCCCTATAGCGTTTTAAACGGTTTGTGTATATTGATAGTTTTTGTGTGAGTGTATCTCTATGTTCGTTATAGTTTGTATTTTGTTCTCGTGTGGTGTGATTGTTTAGTTTTGTAGTTATGTGTTGTACTTGTCGTGTTAATTTTGAAGAACGAGTTCCTTGTATGTATTGTGTAATTCGACCCAAGTCACGTCTGATGTCATCGATGCGATTAATCAGGCGTTTTTCCCAAGCCGGGGGTGAGCGTTTTTTTGTTGTGTGGTGTTCTTTGTTTGTTGTTATTCTTGAACCGTTACATCTAGAAACTGCAACCGCACCGCAATACACAACAAAGTGTAGTTGATGTAAGCTTGTGTTATCGTTAATGTAATTTGGTATTATTATTATTATTATTATTACTGTGTCTGTGTTTAATAATAAAGTGGCGCATACAAATATCAGGAAGTTATATGACTTTTGGCAGTGTACATTTGGCATAAAGGATGTTAAGAATGTGGCACATTTTTTAGATTAGATATAGGTTTGGCGGGAACGCGTTCCACAATTAAACGCGAACCAAAGGTGCCTGCTAGTAACAACAACCGCGACCATGATTCAATGCTTTTGATTTGCGGTACGTACCATAATGGCCATTTGCACCAACAAATTTAAGCGGAACTTAGCTTAAGCGTAGCTTAAAATCCATGGCAACCATTGTCTCAATAATTGTTGCCATGGATTTTAAGCTACGCTTAAGCTAAGCTCCGGTTAAATTTGTCGGTGCAAACGGCCATAAGCTGCACTTCCAAAAATTAAGTTTTTCAGTTTTGCCAACTTAAGATAAACCGTTATGAAATTGTAGGAATTGTAGGAAATATAACATAACCTCACATTTCCACCAAAGTAAGTGATCTTTTTATTAAGATTGTGAATAATGTAAGGCTTCCTCCGCAAATTGTTTGTGGAAAACGCTTAATTTTGGTATCCATTTATTAAAATGACTAAAGGTTGAAATTGAACTGGCGGCGGTCGAGTGAAAAATTCTGTTGTATCCATCATTTATCTATCACAGGAGTTGCGCCATGTAGAGGTGACAGTGATACTTGTAAGAGTGATTTACATACGATTTTTCTTATTATTAATGAGCTTGTGGTAGGCGTTATAGAGACCTTTGAGGCATCTTCATCTGTTGCACATCAAAAAGATTTAATTCCAATATTAACTCTTCATCGTCATCTGAAGTATTATTGCACAGATAGGTATAAAGTTCAAATGTCACGATCAAAACAAACACACCTAACGACAATTTACTGAGACTACGAAAATTTAAGAAACCGTTACTCCCCATTGGCTGTAGCTACACGCCACACTGGTACCAACATTGAAAAATTCATTTCAACTACCGGTTACACAACCAATAGCCAATAAACTTTTATACAACCCATTACAACGTAACCGGCGCTCGAAATTCAACCTACGGTTGGTGAACTGGCGGTTGACAAAACCTTTTACACAACCGGACCTTACCCATATAGCATTGTTAAAACCACAGGTTAATGCATCCCGCCCATAAATTAGCACTTTTGCACATGACATTAACTGAATGGAAAATTCACTTTCTATCTACAATTCTTATGCTAGTGTCTTACTTTATGTTTAAAATTATGTGCTATACAAATTTTTAAAAAGAAACTGGATGATATCAGCATTTGATTCCAGTTCATACTAATATTTATCAGACAAGACCGATATACGGTTTGCCAGGATAGAATGCTGATCACAGCTGGTTACAATCTGATGGTTTAATATGAAAAACATACGATTGTAGACCAGGATCAGGTGTTCTGTGACCGGAATTCTCTCCTGGTGAGCCTTACAGCTCAGATATCAATAGGTACAAGTCACATGATAAAAAATAAGACCGTCTGAGACAATCATAATGTATGGAGACTATCTCAGATCAATCAGATCGCTAATGATCTAGTGAGTGCGCAGTTGCACGAGCATATAAAAGGTACAAAATTTGTTATGACTTGATTGATAATTTAAATTAGTATTAACTTGCAGATAACTAAGCAGGAAGTATAGTCACTAGTGTTTTGTTACAAGCAATATTTTAAAAAAAACTCTTACCTTGTGTGCTAGAATGAGCCTTTTCAATTTCTCTCCTGCACTCTCAATCAGCATTTTAAAATCCTCGGTACCAATCAAGTCCTATAATTAAACATACTCTTTACCGACATTACTATCCATAAAAAGTTCTAAACTTACGGCTTTTGAAATTTGAGAGAAGCTGTGGCCATTGTGTTCTTGAATAAGACAATAACAACAGCAATACTTTTCGCAGAGGTTACACAAAAATTCTAAGGGGTTTTCCTTATGCACTGCACATTTATCGAGTGCCTCTGGTACAATATCAACAGCGGTAGGTACAATTCTATGTTTTCTAAAACTCCTCGTACTATTATGAAAGGGTTCACAGCAATATTCACAGAAGACTTCATTGCATTCGAGGCAACGCAATGAGGCTGAATTTTTGCACAGATCCTTGCAGCATTTATCTAAAAGAGAATCCCAAAATAATCAAAAGTTTATATTAACCAAAATATAATACACAGTGTGTCCAAGATCGAGTGGTATAGTATGCGTAACTTTGCTGTTGAAGATTGGAATTAGGTTAAGTAGGCAAAGTTTTGCGTCCTGTCTATTTAAGAGATTTTCAAAATTCGCTGAAAAAGGAATTGGTTATGGTCATTTATGAATCAGTAAACTTGTCTAATTCTACTTTCAATATTTTATTACTTATTGTGCAGACATTGAAGATAAAATACGGTGATACCACATAATTTTGCCAAACAGCAGGAATTTCTTACTACTTACCACTTACCCTCTACTTCAAAATTGACTCTGTGCCAGGAGTTGCTTTTTATTTTGTAGGGATAAAGATTCGGGTAAAACCTACTCTTATTACAAAATAATTTTGGAATGGTACATTCAAGTGTGTAATCACACTTTTTAAATGTAACGTATTTATTTAATCAACCCTTAAAAAATAACCCCTACTGATTAAAATTTGCAATCAAAAATAGGAAATACAAAAATTGTATTTTTATATGGATTTTAATTTTTTTAATTTTTATTATCAAATTTTCATTTTATTACGAAAAACATAAATAATCAAAAAACCTTTCTTTTCCATTTTCGCATCATCCTCACCCTCCTCTTGATCCATAATTAGAGCACTATTTTAACAATTGTCTACACTGCATTGTCATATTACTTACGTTAAATTGCAGAAAAATTCTACTTTTCAGGAACCGCGCGCTGAACTACGCCCTTTTTTACAACTACTGCAATTGCAAAGTTTCTGTTTAGAAGCAAAATAACATCGCAATTCTTCGCGAAATTGGCTGTTGTATGTACAGTGTTCCATTTTTTACACTTTTATAGGGTATTCCTGTAATTGTTAGTGCCATCAAAAAAGTAAAAATAACAAAAGTCAAGTAAAAAAGTTATCGAATCTATCCTCATTTTTTTTTAGTGAAATACCCTGTATATTTTATTCTAAAAGACAGGATATTAAAAAAATATATAACGGTAACGAAATTCAAAAAAAATTAATATTAGTTGAGGAAGATTATAGAAAATTAACAATTTAAAATTTTTTTTGATTTTTTAAAAATTATTTAAACATTTTTTAAATCCTTTTTTAATCTTTTTGATTTTTGTTTGGATTTTTTTAATCATTCTCAGTGTGTTATATTTTTAAGTGTAGTTAAAGGGATTCAACTGAGTTATTGCATTTAAGTGTACTCCCCTCGAGTTTCCAAGTAAACCTGTTTTTTTCGTAGTGGCGTTTACAAAACAGTTAAGAATGCTATGTCTATAAGCGATAATGCGTAGGTATTCATCAATGGTTCAATTTACATGTTGTCGTATCTGCAAAAATATGTGATGGTTTTTACCCATAATTCATTTTGCTCCTCTATCACGTCTTTCCGAAAACAATTTTGTAGGTTTCTTCAACAGCTATAACCTCATAAATTAAAAATTCGGTCAGCCCTTATTTTTGAAAGGGTTTGAGCTGAAATGGATTGAAAAACACTATTTAATAACATATGCAGATTATAAACGTACATTATACAGAAAAAACTGAACATTTTCAAAATAACAAAACCCACAATTCTGCACTCCACAAAATATTGTATAGTTGTAGTGTACACAGTTTACAAAGACTTCAAGCTCGATTTTTTCAAAACTAAGCACTTTAAACTGTTCAAACTTCTGGAGCATATTATAAGTACATAAAGTGAATTGTAAAGTGGTAAGTATAATTTTCCATTGGGCTAATCTTCACATTTTTTCTCACCGAAAACAATAGGCACCACCATTACTTCCATTATAATTAGCGTCATTCCAATGCTAGAGGCTTTTTATAAAAACAAACGTAAAGGTTAAAGGTTCTAACCGTTTTCCATTTGGTTTTTGGATATTTAGCGTTGAAACATTCAATTTTGGCGGTTGAAGAATAAGAACCCACCTACAAACACCATAACCCCACCATTCTTTTTGTTTTTACCGCAACCCATTTAAGTGGTGTCCCCACGGTCTGTCTGACCGCCTTTTCGTCGTCCCGCGCTCTAGCTCAGTCCCCAGACCTCGTATCGCCTTCTGGTTCTCGCTATATGCAAGGTTAAGCGTTTTAGATCTGCAACTATCAACTTTGGCATCCATCATGTTGTGTCCAAAACCCAACAAAATCGTTATTTATGCATCAATGTGGTTGGGAAAAAGACTAAACACTATGCCCAAGAAGTGGTCCATATGTATTTTTGCTGCCCAACATATTTTTGCATAAAAGATGTCAAAATCGTTATTTATGCAACAATTTTCTTGGGAAAAAGACCAAACTCGATTGCTCAATGGCCAAGAAATGATCAATGTGTATTTTTTGTGACCAAAATATTTGTTCGGAAAAAGACTAAACTCTATTCCTTAATGTCCAAAAAGTGATCCATATGCATTTTTGCGTGACCAAATTATTTTTCGCTAATTAATGTCAAAATCGTTATTTATGCATCAATTTTCTTGGTAAAAAGACCGAACGGGATTGCTGGATACCCAAGAAGGAATCCATTTGTATTTTTGGTGATGCTCAAGATGTGATCTATACAAATGTTTCTGACCAAGATATTTTTAACCATTTATATTTATTTATGCACGCTCAGACTATAAACGTATTGACTAACCTGTCCGTCTACCTATGTGAGTGGGTTGAGCTGGCAACACCCACATAGTAGTGCTTTTGGTTTACTTGTTTTATAAGCTACATATTAAACTAATAATGATTTTTTGTTAAACAATTTGTAAATCAGCATATGCATGATTAAAGCGCATTTTTGGTAATACCGGTCAGTATTTCATTAGCGAAGTTTAAAATTATCTGATCTAACGGTAAAATTATAGCACCTCCGAAAACCATATCGAAATTATTTTCTTAAATTATCGATCTAACAAGTAATCTAACTCAAAATAGACTAGAGCCTGCACATCTACACTATAGCAGAAAGCTTTTAGTGAAAATTTGAAGTCTCTAGCTACTGTAGTTGCTGAGATCCTACCCGGACAGCCGGCCAGCCAGCCATAACGAATATAATAGCGTATTTTTTTCAAAAATGCGCTAAAAATGGACACTAGCGATTAGGTCAAATAGTATTGACTTACAGAAAAGCCTGGTATCCACCCACAGGGTACCTAGTAATTGCCATCGGTGCTGTTTGGCAAAATTATACCAGAAAACGGTCATTGACTACACTATATGGTTTGTGCTACAGCATGTCATGAGGCATTTACTATTATTACTATTAACTAAAATCTCATACCTTATGATGACAGAAGTATAAGAGCTTGGGAAATGAAAAAAAGAAACGTTGTTTTGGATTGCAAGTCTATTTTTTCACAAAAGCTAAACAAAATTGTATAATTTAGTATTTACCCTTTTACCCAATTAAACAAACGCCAATCTTTTAACAAAGCTAAGATCTTTGTGGTATGAATTCACAATTAAGTATGTAAAAAATGGGGTGGCAGACAGGGACCAGGACAATAGGTACTTACTTTTTAAAAAAACTGAATGTTGTCTTAGTTGAGAGTGGGAGTTAAGCACCCAAAAGTTTAAAAATTTGCCGCTTCTTTAATCTTTTGTAAGCAACCATGGCACATAGAAGGATGGAAGTACGGATTTGCCTAGGCTTTTTGGATCTACCCTTGGGGTACTGTTCAACATGAAAATAAGGAAACAAAAACTTTGTTTGTAGCACATTAAAAAAAGATCTACACAAAATAGTAAGGCCAATTGAAGAATAGATTGTGAATAAGTCAGTGTGATACATGAGAACTACAAAAACCTAGATGATTGAAGTAAGGATGGGACGCACAATTCACTACTGAAACACGAAAAACCTGTCTATCTTAATAAATATCAAAAACAAAGTACTTATAGGATAAAACAAATTTGGGAAAAAAGGGGTAGTGTTATAAAAGAAGTCAAGAACAAAAAATTACAGTATCTAACATAGGAGGCTTGTTCTTTGGTTGTATTTGTAGTTGCTTCAAGTAAGATAAGCAGCAGTTCCATGACAATCGACATATTGTAAATATGATGTTCTTATTACTCAAAGTGACTTTTTCTTTAGTTGAAGCAACTTCAAACTGTCGACACATTCGTGTATTACTGGCGTTAACCTGTTGCTTATTCTGACTAAAATAAGTAAACTCTCAAACAAGCTTGATAAATGAAGGCTGTAATGAAACAAATTTTGCTAGAGATAGAAGATTGCTTTCACTTTCACCACAGATGATAGAAAGATACCTAACAAGCCCAACTACAAATTACAAAAAAAATATTTTATAGTAATACATACCTTTCAATTTAAGGGCAAGACCTGCACAAAATACTTACAACATGAAATAAATGCCATAATCAATACACACACTCACCTTGTAATATGAAATCTAAAGATTCTGGCTGATCACATAAAGTAGAGGTGCTGCCAAATTGAGAGCTGGCAAGATTGGTGTACGTCATACCAGTCGGTTGGAGTTTCATATCTTGATCTTTAACGTGAGGTCGCAAATAACTCATAACGCCTAACAAGTAAAAATTTACGGGAAAAATTTCTTGCAAGCGTTGTTTCTGACTGGTGTCAATTGGAGAAAATTGTCCACATTCGATGCAGATTACGCCTCCCTTACTGTAACTATCCTGCACACACTCCTCGCAGAGCGTGTGGTTGCAGTGCAGTATCAGTGGTATTTTTCCATGGAAAACGTGGTACTTTGCTAAAATAAATTGGACTTGTAGCTATATCATATATGGAACAAAAGAAGGATATAAACCAGGAAACTTTGTAAGCCTACTTGATTTAACAATGCGCTTTAACAAAAATTATGAACTCTAGTAATAACAGGAAAGTGAAGATAAGAACAGGAAAAACAAACAGTGTGGAGCTTCTGATTTCTACCAATGAAAAATCCTTACCAAAATACTTGTACTGCATGTTGCATTTTGGGCACAAATACTTTTGAGAATCGGATTTATTAACACGTGACTGGCACCGGTTATTGGAAGTCTTAGAAGTGGAAAAATGACTACCACTGTAAACACTCATTTTGAAATCCACAATTTCCGCAAACTCACAAAGAAAATACAGTCAGTTATAACACTGTTTACATTTGAATATTTTTATTTACAATCTTCACAAATATAAAAGGCAAAATTCAAAAGGTTAAAACTTAAAGGACAAACAATTTTTTCTCATTAAGCGGTAGCACAAGCAAAACGATTGAAAGAAATTGTTGCCAATCACAAATACACAACAAACAGTGTGGCAAACATGTACATTCAAATTTCACTGACTGAAAACGTTTAGCGACCACAAATGATATACAGTGCGTATAATCAACACAGTACATTCACTTTTTTTTATGCAAAGAAGGCGGACGGAAGTGATATTATTGAACAAAAAAATTGAAAAGTTTTACGGAAGCCAACAAGCACACCAGAAGACCAGAACACATATTTTTAGGGCGCACATGGATAAGGGCCTGCAAAAAAGGAATAAACGGTTAAAAAGCTATTCCAAAAAATATTTTCAATAATGAGGTCAGACTTGCTAAATATGATAGCTCGGTCAGGCCCTGGATTTTTTTTACATATTTAAATTTTTAATAAATACCTATAGGTAAGAACTTTGCTAAAAACATCTTTCTGGTAACACAAAATTATAAATTAGGTAAACAATTAAGAATGTAATGTTTCACTTACCTGGTCTTGAAACTCACGAAATAACAATACAATAATATAAAACCACTGATGACGATACACAACGCGTTCATTCAATCTTAAAAGTCATTTGCCCCCTTGCATTTTCCCAACAACGGATTCGGCGAATACTATTTTCCTAGGCAAATGACTTTTAAATAGAAATTATTTTGATGAAATCATTTGCCCACCCAGATAGCATTTGCCCAGGAAAATGCCATTTGCCTGAAATAACTATTTGCCTACGACATATGTGCTAAGAAGCATATTTTGGATTTTGAGTCGAGATCCACCACCTGGTTCATTTTCGGGCTATGATGTCATTAAAGATGGCAACCACTCGATTGCAGAACGACTCATAGATATGTTAATACATGACCGATTTGCAGATAAGTATTTTCTATTAGATTCTATTTAGATTAGAACTTCAAAATGCTCTACAAATGCAGGATGTTTTCGCGCATTTTAATCAATTACATGCTTCAATAAAATCAGTTGGATATATAAGTCCTTTTCAGATACTAAATCATTTTCTTTTATTGTAAAGTCAAATTCACATGGGTCTATAAGCCTAAGCTAATAACCAAATCATCAGGAAGATACATGTGTATGAATATGACCTCAACAAATCTCCTTTAGTACCTACTTCAGTTGATCTAAAGATTTACAAGAAGACCCTTTTCGTAATAACTGCACTATAGGTATTCTTCTGAAGGTTTAAGGCTTATTTGTTCTATGTCATTCCAGTCAGATGATATGCCAAAGTTTTCCAAATATGCCGTAGATGCACAATGAACAGCGGCTGTTTTGGTGCCAAACTTACTCATGCAATCTGATCTAGATAGTGTGTGGATGGCTGGAAGCAAAAAGCATAAGTGTTGCCCCATTTTTCGGTGAATATCATTAACAGGAAAAAGTCGCTTCCTCTGCTGAAAAATGTACAGATTTCGCCATCCATGCAACCATCGAAAACATTGAAAATTTATTCCAAATCCTGGTAAAATTAAGAGTCTACAGAGACGACACTGGCTTTAAGTTACAGATGTAATTTTGGTTCTTTGATGGTAGAAAAACTATCTTTAACGAGTATTAGAATAACCTTAAAGAAACATAAGCGAAAAATGCTCGAACGAGAGCACTCGCGACCAGTTTCTTCGTAAACTTCACTTCTTTAACTCCGGTTAAACGGCGTAAAATCTCTTAGAGCATTCAACTGTTCTACAAAATTGTACAACTTGCAAGACGGCTGTTTTGTAACAAAGTACGCCCACTGCGACCGCTGATTGCGATACACCAAAAACCTCCACCACCAAAAAGCCACGATTCATATCTTCCTTTGCCATTTAAAGCCATTTCCGTTTTTTTCCTTCCTCTTTCCCTAACAAATTAAGGCGTCGTCACACGTCACGGCGAAATACATCTGCTCATCTACACTTAACGGGCTTTTGCCAACGACCGGAGATAACAGTTTTACAAAAGAATAAACTAGATCTTTCTCTACAATTAAATAAACAAAATACAAGCGATTATTTAAACAAAATTAACCACATTAAATAATTCTTAAACAAAATCACATTGACTTCAAATTCAAATACTCTGATCGAAATTGTGTTCAATCTCAAATTAACGACCACATCTACGCTTACAGAAAATTGAAATTTAATATACAGGGTGGTCCATCGTTATTTTAGGTGCTGATACCAAATTAAACGACGTAGTTTACACGACAATACAAATATGTAGCTAGAGGTGTTTACCAACTTGAAATTCGATCACTTTTGGCAGTTCACTGATATTTTGATGACTATAATTGATTTTGTAATCTAAGAACCGCTATTAAAAAAACACAAAGCTACAATACTAATTAAATAGACGCATTCACGAAATATATTTATATATAGTCAATAAAAGTGCAAAGTTTAAATATATTTTTTTACTTAAACAAAGATTCGTATAGTTTTTATCTACCTACCGTTTATGCAATTAGGTAGGTATGGTACTAAATTTTTTTCAGGTCTTTACTGTCTGCTGAAATGATATTTGTCTGCATTTTTTGCGTACACGTGTTTAGCCTGTTGCTAGGTTTAATTGAGAGGCGGTCCAGTATAGAATGTCAAAGGTACACCGAAATGTGATTTTTAGTTGGCCGTTATTTGGACTATAGTTTTAGTCAATGCAGTTAGGTACATAAGTAGGTACTGCGATAGCTGGTCGCTATAATCGACATACCGAAATATTTCTACTGAAACTATAGGCTATTCTGAATGAGGATAAAGCAATAACATATCAGAGAAGCAATTCATCTAAACATGCAATGTCCAAATGAACGAACTTCCAATAAATCTACCTTTTTCGAAATCTACTTGAAGGGGTGGCGTATAACTCAATTGAACGACAATTGTATTGGAAGGGGAGGATGCAGCATATACACGCGTCAAAAATATTCAAAAGCTTATCATTGCACATGCTCTCAATCTACAGTAGCTGTAGTTATCAAGCACCGAAGAAGTAATTGGATTAGTTTAGTAAAGGTGCATTGGTAGGAACGGTTCTACCTGTAACAATAATTAGATGTCCGAATTTTATATGATTTAGTTACAGTTAAATCCTTAAATTTGTGTAAAAAATCACTAACTTATCCGTTTTTAAATTTCGTGGAATGTGAAATTATTTGCTATAACATGCTTGCACGGGCATTGAAAGCAACAGGTATCAAATCAAATCGATTAGAATGACAATGAAAACTAAGTTCAAGGTAAACTCTTCAAAATAACAAGGTAGATAAATGTTTTAATAAAAATTTGATGTTATTAACAGAAGAAGAAAGAAGACTTTTGAATGTGCTTTTCATTACTTGAAAAATCATGTTTTGATGTTTGTATCTTAATTACACAAATTTCCCTTCTGGATTATTTAATACTTGCAAATAATACTCGACTTCGTGCATTAATAGAATATAACAAAAATCGTTGATTTTTATTTTTGCGAAACTCTCAACTTCAGAAGACACTTCGAAAGGAATGCACTGCATTTGTGTATAGCAACGGTGCTGCGCTGGACAATTCAAGAATCTTTTGCACGTATCAAAATGCATGTGATTGTATGTTTATTTGCTTATTACCTTGATTTGTTGTATCTAAATTACATAGTATGTGCATAGCATATGTTACTGCTATGATATACGTAGGTACATCCATAAAAGTAGTAATAATGTAAGTATGTATTATAGCCTTCTTTCTAAACGAGTGCTACCTACAATAATGTCTTTATTTGAAAATGTATTGTTCGTATCTAACACCGTATTATAATAATTGCTACACTTGGTCCAAGAATTCTTTAGACCAAATTATACCGATAACCGGAATTTGTATACCTACAATTATTACTTATATTTCTAATACCTATCAGTGACTCATCTCGTGGTTGAACATCGTTAACAAGACAGTCCTGCTGACTGGAGTGGGTACCTATGTAGGTACAAAAGTAAAACTGTTGAGACGATGTCAGATAGATAAATAAATAGCAAAATTCTATACCTAATTATTTTCAATTTATTCCCACTAAAAGTTAATCAAGCGAGAGTAATTCTGAGTGAAAATAAGGTACAATTCTTAAATGGAACAAAAAGTAATACCTATTAATTCGCGGCTAGCGGCCTCACAGGGAGAATTGATCAGTTTATACACCTTTGACGAGTACAGTCGCATTTTAGGAACTCTAGTGGACTCAATAGCCGCGAATCGGCAGCAGTAAAAACGGCAGTCAAGCAAAATTAAGGCTTTTAAACGAATCTCACTATTTCACTGACATTATAACCTACCTACAGCGAATGTCGCGATGCGTCAAAGTGGGCCCTAGCAGCAATTGAATTTCCACAATAAAGAAAGGTTCAACTGATAAAATAGGTACCAAAACTGATGGACATGCGTCGGGTTCGGGTAGCTTTCTTATTATGACGTTTTGAATTTATCTGTAGCTCCGAAAACTCAAAAAGCTGGGGCTTTGGATTGATTGTTAAAGCTCTACCTAAATGTATAGGTAGTGTGTAGTAGTGTAGTGTAGGTAAGTACTTATTAAAAATTTGTGATGAAGGCGCAGCAAGTAGATATCACTTTCAAAACTAGTTGTACAAATAACTATTAATATTTCCGATAAAAATGAAAAAATCAAAAACAACTACTAACCGAATTGTGTTATCCTTCACTGGGTAAGCGCAATAACAACACAGGTCATTACCCAGCAGTCTGGTAAACGAGTAGGTAAATGGAGAATTGGCGCCTATAGGTAGGTATAATACTCAATGAAAGAAATATTTTTAAGTTTTCCACTTTGCTGTTTTTGTAATAAATGCTTTCCACGTTAGGTACCATTGAATAAGTAATAATATTACTTATTCATTGACGTTACTTAATGTAATTTTTTATACGTCATTGATCCATTATTAATAATTGGTACCTACCTATTCTATTAATTCCTGTAAAAAATTATCAACGTCGTCGTGTGAGATTGTCAGATCGACGGGA